TGGGCACCCTAACTCTTCCTATTACTTCTCATTAAACCTAAGCTCTGATGCATTGTGTCATTAGTGGGTAAGCCCCCAACAAAATGTTCCAAATAATTCATGTTATTGATATGACTGTCAAACTGTCACAATCCTCTTCCTTTATCCGAGCTTGGAAATTGCTATGAAGAAATCTAGGCATAGTTACCATGTCATCTTAGACTGTCTCCTGAAAATCAGATAATCAGTTTGCTTTGGGAACATAAAAAAATTAATAATTCAATCTTGTTAGTTTTGGATTGCTATTGCACAGATTTCTGATGTTAAACGTATGAATCCTATAAAAATGCTCACTCTGTTATTAAAAACTGTGAACCCAGGTTCCTCAGAATCGTTAGTTACTCAAGATTTTCAAATAATACTTTGAGAAGGAAAGAGGAAGTTGAAAGACTACGGAATATTATGCTTCTTAAACCAACTTGAATTCTCAACTCTAAATGTAAAAAGCTCCAATTACCTGTAGCTGGTAGCGATATAAGCTTAGAACTAAACAACAGTTAATAAGAAGTGTTTAAACTACAATGCTGAGGTAGATTGATTATCTTCCCATTCCGTGAGAGACTAACATTCTAAGTGGGCACCAGAATATTGATTCTCCTACTCAAAATGGTTGAATAATGTTATGATGGAATTACCTCTATTTTTATTTGGGCTACTAAGTAATTCTTCACTTGGTCATACCCCATCTTTCTAGCTCATCTACATATTCTACAAAGTTGGACAACCTTTATGGCCTATAAAATTTCTTAATATTATTCACTTCAAACTACAAGCAAATGTGAGGTCAATGAACTTTTGAGAAATCCAATATATTATATGGTGGTGTTGATTTATTATCATTCATAATTCCAATTATATTCATGATTTGAAGTTCTACATGCATTGCTTCAATGTTATCAAACTCTTTTTCTTTTTCTTTTTCTTTTTTCCCTTTCTTAAATACGCACAGTGAAATTTTATTATCAATTAGAACTCCTTTTTATTTTGGCTGACTCGTGTTTCATGAATTTAGTTCTCAAATTATGATATTTGCATTTTATAATTTCATCTTCTTTTGGCAGTTTGATAGATTATCACTAGTATGGGGAAAACCACGCCAACCACCCTTGAGACGTGAAGAGGTAAATACCATCTTTAAGTATTCTTTGTAAGCATCTAATATGCTATGTTTATGTTTTTGAGATCGTAGCATTTTTTGCCCCATTATATGACTATCATGCCAGAAGATTTATATGTATCTGAATAACAATGTTAGTAGATGCTCGTGTAAAATCCCCCTTTTAAAAAGTTTTATGTCGGTGACAAATGTTATTATATCGGCAAAATAGACAATTATTAAGTGTTATAAGAATCTTAAATGACAAACTCACAAATCAAAGACCTGATGACAACAATAGACAAAAATGGGGTTTCAACTTCCACCTTGGTGTTGAGTGTTCAAACCGCAGAGCTCATATGTAGAGACTCAGATGCCTTGAACTTCCGTCCTTTTGGAACCATTGGAGTATTTAAGGCATCATGTTGATAAAGAAAATCCATTCTAATTGCTAGGATACTTCTTTTAGAGCTACAAAGACAATCTCAAATACAACTTGAGGGAATAAAACATCAACCATCAGCTATGCTGTTCATATGTTGTTTGGTCACCTCTTTCTCTTTCTTTCTTTTTTTAGCAATTAGGGGTATAGAAAGGAGCTAAGTCTGTGAAACTAAAGTTTGTAGACGAGAGATGAATTGGGGATGATTAACGATGGTAAAATCATAAGTTAGCGTGTGAATCTGTTTTCTTTTTTGTTGTTGATTAATACATTTAAGAGGGTATTCCTTTTTATTTTTTCTTTATTTTTGTTGTGCTACTTGAAGGAGACAGGAGCTATGGTTTTGATATCAATTTAGGGCTACAATTTGATCTACTTGTTTTGTCCAATTCCTCCAATGCTTTTTCCTCCTAGTTAGTTTCTGTCTTTTAAGCCGTCAATTTTTTTCTTTCTTGTTTTGTTTTTTCTTGGTTAATATGACCACTTTGGTTTTATTGCCATACTTTTAGTGCTGAAGGTTAGCTTATCTTCTTATATATGCCTTGTGCATCAATGATGTGCGATAGAATGACTGCGGCACCAATGCATTCACTTGTGTCATGGGTAGATTTCCTTTTACTGCACAAGAAGTACGTGTTATATTATATCTCTGAGTTGATAGTGTACTTGCAGTGGACTACATTTTTGGATTCTGAAGGGCGAGTGATGGATTCAAAGGCGTTGAGAAAGAGGATCTTCTATGGAGGAGTGGAGCACAATTTGCGGGCGGAGGTTTGAGTATTTGAAGATGATTTTTTGTTTTGGAAACATGCTATCACTTTATTTCATTCAGTTATGTTCTTTATGTCCCGAGTCTGTTATGAGTCTCATCATTATGATTTACAGGTTTGGACATTCTTAATGGGATACCATGAATATGGTTCAACATATGCAGAGAGGGAATACCTCATGTCCATAAGGAAGTCAGAGTATGAAACCATAAAAAGGCAATGGCAGGTTAGTTACTGATTTTGTATATGCTTGAAATATAGATGCATTTGTTTCGAGAATTATTTCAAATCTCATTATTGTTAATGCTCAAGATTACAGGGGCCCACCTTTTTCACCTTTTCTATTTCTTTTCTTTTTTTAAGAAAATTTTATCTTGTGTCATTTTTCATCCCAAATGCAGACAATTTCCTTACACATACCTTATTGTTGCAGTAGACTTGTAATGTCTCCCTCCACTGTCTTGTTGCTGCTCCATGTTGTAATTTTGGAGTATGCCCCTAATGAGAAAGCCTTTTGACCTTGTTCTAAATGTAGACTGAAACCCTATTAGCCCTGTTCTTAATTCTTATAGGGTATTCACGAACCAAAGGAAGGCACCAAGCCGAAGTTTAGAAATCACATAGGTCAATATCTGCTCAGTCTACGTTAGCAGCTTGGTAAGACTAGGGTGCACATTTTCAAGATGTTACTTGATTACCTTTCCAACCTTTGCTTCGTCGTATGTTCAATCAAAAAAAGGTCTCAAAAAGAGCCTTTACATTATAGTAGATTAGGAAAGTGCACTCACTCTGATGGCGTACCTTTTGCATGTTGGGTCAGCAGGAAATGGGAAACCACATCTTGGATAACTAGGAAAAAGCCTATATTTTCTAATTAGTAAAGATTCTTTTTAGGAAAAATATTGATTTTCCTATAGAGGAAAGGACTGACTTATTTGAGACAAATTGTCGTGGCATCATATTATTCTCTTCACATCAGATTCTACCTCGATATATCTTTTATTGATAGTTTTGGTATCTAAAACTGAACCTGAGAGTGTAATTTATGTAGAAAGTATCATTGAAATCAATGGAAAGAATGCTCCAAATGACTTGACACTATAACAGAAGTAAGGGAATATGTCTGACGTCAAAGAGGAATCATTTGCTTCTCTCTATGGAATTTAGCCCTTGTGGTTCCATTAAAACTAGTTTTTGGGGGAAAATGTAGTTTGAAATGGTGATTTTTTGAAGAATGTATAGTTAAAAAAAAGGAAAAATTTTGGGTTCAAGTGTAATATTATTTTATTGAAGAATGTGGTGGGAAAGGAGAGAGAGAGATGCATGTTAAATAAAATGGAGCCTAAACAGGGGCTTACTCTATTCATACCTTTTACCTATAGAGACTTATGCTTGTTGCATTTCAAAGGAACTGTGTTTCTTGAGCTAGCAAACTTAGCTTAAAAAATTAATTGTAATATTTTATTCAGAGCATCTCACCGGAGCAGGCAAAAAAATTTACAAAATTCAGGGAGAGGAAATGCCTTATCGAGAAGGATGTGGTACATTCCAGTTGCACATTTCTTGGTCATATACGTAAATTTATCAAGATGCAGGACACCCTACTTATCAATGTAATATTATTATTTTTTTTTTTTTCAAGGTGAGGACTGACAGGTCGCTCTCATTCTATGACGGGGATGAAAATCCTAATGTCTATCTTTTACGTGATATACTGTTGTCATACTCCTTCTACAACTTTGATCTTGGGTACTGTCAGGTAGTTAACTTTTATTATGTTACAATCTTGCCATTAAATAGTCAATGTGTTTCTGGTAAATGTGCAAGAATGCTACCAGTTTTGGGGTTGGAGGCGGGGTGGGTGTTATAAATACATCCTCCGACAATCAAGAGATGCTGATTGTCAATTAGTGAACAGAATTTTATCATTGATGTGAAAGCGTATAATTTTTTATGTATGTGTATCTGTCTTTGTGGTCTATTTTCTCAGTAAATGGATGGTGAATCCTAAAACTTCTGGTCCAACATGAAATTTAACTTGATACAGAAATTAGCATATTACTTTACCTGCAAGGAGTTTAAACTTTTAAACAAGGCAGTGTCTACATTATATAATACATTCTTTATGGTAGGTTCATATGGTAAATAATATGAGGAAAATAGATGATATTTTTAATAAAGAAATCCTTTCTTCTCATTCTTTATGAGCTTACCATTATTGGATTTATCAAAATAGTGTTAATAGATATAATATATGTTGTTTGTTTAAAACAAATGAGCTGATCGTAGAAATTTCATAAGGTTGCATTTACTACCATAACTGATCTAGTTGTCTTCTTCTTGATTTTCTTGCTCATATTATTGGCACTTGTGAGAGCCTTTTCTCTATTGATGCAGTTGTTAGCTCTGTTTCCCACTGTATGAAACACTGTTTTTCTTGACTTGTAGGGCATGAGTGATCTTTTGTCCCCAATATTATTTGTCATGAGAGATGAATCAGAGTCATTTTGGTGCTTTGTTTTCCTGATGGAACGCCTTGGACCCAATTTCAATCGTGACCAAAGTGGGATGCACTCTCAACTTTTTGCATTGTCAAAGGTTTTTTCTCTCTCTCTGTGGGTGGGCGGGTGCGGGTGCGGGTGCGGGTGCGTGTGCGTGTGTGTATGTGTGGAGGCACGTGTATGTGGGGGTAGGGCTCTGGCCTCTGAGGGTGCGTGTACCTTGGAAGTTTTAATGGTTGAAATTGTTTCTTGAACTTGATCTTGGTTGCTTAACAGGACAGCCAGGCTGAACATTAAGTGGTGGTTACAGCACAAAATTCTTTCCTTTTGGAGTTATTGCAATCAAACTTATTTTGTCCTAGTCCATGAAAGGAGCTTCATATCTATCTGAATAGTGAAAAATTTTGCAAAGTACAGAATGATAATAGTAGGAATTTGTGCAAAATTTGGTAGTTAACTATGTACACTCAAACTACAAAATAAATTTACTAGATTTACTTTTTGACATCTTTTTTAGCAGCCCTATAAAGAATTTTTATTTTTTTACACCATTACATTTTTTAAATAGAGCATATATGTTTGATAATCATGACTGTCATACCAATTTTTGAGGTGTATATGCATTGTTCCTTCCCTGTAGTCTTTTTCTTTTTTTGCTCCAAATGACATCCCGGTGACTTTTTCCAGCTTCTTTACGTTGGTGAATTCTGGCAATGAAATAAATTATGTTCAGTTTAATAGAAACCTAACATTTATTTGACTTTTATCATGCAGCTAGTGGAGTTGTTAGACACTCCATTGCATAACTATTTTATGCAGAATGATTGCTTGAATTATTTCTTCTGTTTCCGCTGGATTCTTATACAGTTTAAAAGGCAAGTAGACAGCTCCCTGTTTCTTATTTACTGCGTGCAATTTATTGGTGTTGCAAAATTGTTATCTTTACATTGACATAATGTGGATTGTTTAACCATAATATTTTCCCTGCCCCGTAATATGGTTTAGATTGGTTGTCCAAACACTACCATTCCGTTGCTTTATTAATATTGCGACCATAAGTAGTTACAAAGTTTGTATGAATTTCAAGAAAATAACACTCTTTGGAGGATCTTTATATCATACTGAACTGCATGATAAAAGATCACAGAGTTAAAATGTCATTTCAGAATACTGCATTTGTAGAACACATAACTGTGTAGTAATAATATGATTTCATATATCCTTCATTTTGTCCTGCAGCTGATTGCCTGATGTTTCGCAGGGAATTTGAATATGAGAAAACAATGCGTTTGTGGGAGGTATTATGGACACATTATCTGAGTGAGCATCTGCACCTTTACGTATGTGTTGCTATCTTAAAGAGATACCGCAGCAAGATAATGGGGGAGCAGATGGATTTTGACACTCTCTTAAAATTTATCAACGAACTGAGTGGTCACATCGACCTTGACGCAATCCTCAGAGATGCAGAAGCACTGTGTATATGTGCTGGTGAAAACGGGGCTGCCTGTATACCTCCTGGAACTCCACCTTCATTGCCTCTCGAGGATCCCATGGCATATCCTCAACTGGATGATGATGTATTGTAGATGGCACATGTATAAAGAGACATGCAATAACGTATAATTAGTTTTCAGTGATTTTTTGATGTTTAATAAGTACGCATTGATTTGAATAGATTGTGTGCTATACAAGGAATCTTCTACCTTATCTTCAATCTTGGGAGACACTTCCAAGTTCCATGATATGTGGTCAAAGGAATGTCTTTTCTGTATGCTTTTGGTTTAGTGTTCTTACCGATGGCTTTCCATTTGAATGTCTGCACTTGCACTGCATACCAGGAAATGTTCTGATATACTTTCATATTTTGAGCTATTAACATTCTTCTGATTATGCATTTGCGATGCAAATGGACCAAGAGACCGGTGTTTCTCTTTGGTTGAATAGTTAATGCATTTGAAGTCTTATGCTTCTACTAAAGTGTTAACACTGGTCCAGGCATTTAATCCTTTATTTTAGAAATTGGAAATATCTAGTGCAGCTAGTCAATGAATATCCAGAGATACAACATTCTTTTTCTTTTAACTGTCGCATAGGTGCTGAGTTGCACAGGAACGTCATAAATGAGGTGTATATGCATTGTTCCTTCCCTGTAGTCTTTTTCTTTTTTTGCTCCAAATGACATCCCGGTGACTTTTTCCAGCTTCTTTACGTTGGTGAATTCTGGCAATGAAATAAATTATGTTCAGTTTAATAGAAACCTAACATTTATTTGACTTTTATCATGCAGCTAGTGGAGTTGTTAGACACTCCATTGCATAACTATTTTATGCAGAATGATTGCTTGAATTATTTCTTCTGTTTCCGCTGGATTCTTATACAGTTTAAAAGGCAAGTAGACAGCTCCCTGTTTCTTATTTACTGCGTGCAATTTATTGGTGTTGCAAAATTGTTATCTTTACATTGACATAATGTGGATTGTTTAACCATAATATTTTCCCTGCCCCGTAATATGGTTTAGATTGGTTGTCCAAACACTACCATTCCGTTGCTTTATTAATATTGCGACCATAAGTAGTTACAAAGTTTGTATGAATTTCAAGAAAATAACACTCTTTGGAGGATCTTTATATCATACTGAACTGCATGATAAAAGATCACAGAGTTAAAATGTCATTTCAGAATACTGCATTTGTAGAACACATAACTGTGTAGTAATAATATGATTTCATATATCCTTCATTTTGTCCTGCAGCTGATTGCCTGATGTTTCGCAGGGAATTTGAATATGAGAAAACAATGCGTTTGTGGGAGGTATTATGGACACATTATCTGAGTGAGCATCTGCACCTTTACGTATGTGTTGCTATCTTAAAGAGATACCGCAGCAAGATAATGGGGGAGCAGATGGATTTTGACACTCTCTTAAAATTTATCAACGAACTGAGTGGTCACATCGACCTTGACGCAATCCTCAGAGATGCAGAAGCACTGTGTATATGTGCTGGTGAAAACGGGGCTGCCTGTATACCTCCTGGAACTCCACCTTCATTGCCTCTCGAGGATCCCATGGCATATCCTCAACTGGATGATGATGTATTGTAGATGGCACATGTATAAAGAGACATGCAATAACGTATAATTAGTTTTCAGTGATTTTTTGATGTTTAATAAGTACGCATTGATTTGAATAGATTGTGTGCTATACAAGGAATCTTCTACCTTATCTTCAATCTCGGGAGACACTTCCAAGTTCCATGATATGTGGTCAAAGGAATGTCTTTTCTGTATGCTTTTGTTTAGTGTTCTTACCGATGGCTTTCCATTTGAATGTCTGCACTTGCACTGCATATCAGGAAATGTTCTGATATACTTTCATATTTTGAGCTATTAACATTCTTCTGATTATGCATTTGCGATGCAAATGGACCAAGAGACCGGTGTTTCTCTTTGGTTGAATAGTTAATGCATTTGAAGTCTTATGCTTCTACTAAAGTGTTAACACTGGTCCAGGCATTTAATCCTTTATTTTAGAAATTGGAAATATCTAGTGCAGCTAGTCAATGAATATCCAGAGATACAACATTCTTTTTCTTTTAACTGTCGCATAGGTGCTGAGTTGCACAGGAACGTCATAAACCTTGAACTCTGCTCTGCTGATATTTATTCCTACGAGAATATCTCTAGCGTTAAAGCAGTGGTTGGAAGCCTTCCCCCGTGATTTCACCTCCATTGGTTCCAAATGCCTCGAACAAAACAAAATCATCTAGGATGGGCATGAATATCTCGTCCTCATAGAAGAATGGTGCACGGTTGGTGAAAATTGAAGGAAAATTGATGTCGTAGTCAATATTTTTCAGATTTTCAGCGCTAAATTCTGAAACCACGTTGACTTCCTCTTCTATAGAGCTACCTGCGGTTTTCTTCTCTAGATTTCCGTCTTCTGCAATGTGCAAACCTGATGATAATTGGTGCTTTTTGTCGCTTTCAGAGTCTAGGTTCATATTTGGGCGTCGAGATGCCCTCTTGTTCAAATGGGTATTCCAGTAGTTTTTCACTTCATTGTCCGTACGACCGGGGAGTCTACCAGCAATCAGCGACCACCTGTGCACGGGAAGCATTTATACTGAGGCAACAATGCATAACCAAAGTGATTTACAGGTGAACTGGCTGGAACCAAGTGAGGACTGCCTGCTTTCTACCAATTCAGGTTAGTTTGGCTAAGCTTAGATGGCGTTCAAGCGAATCTTAAATACAGATCTCTGTTTAATGGGTGGCAAACTTATTATGTTCTAAAAACCAGCAAACTTCACACACACACGAACAAAAGAACCACGTGTTCAAAATTTGCCCTAGCTTCAATGTCACTTTACACAGTTTCAGCAATATTGGGTTTATTTAAAATCTTTAGTCCATGTTGGTTTGAAACATTTTGCTGTTTGACTTCAAAACTTAAAAAACCAATTCTTTGTTGGGTTACTGAGTATTAACCTGTTTCCCAGAAGCTTGTGCATTCTGATAATGAGGTCCCTTTCGTCTTCTGACATCATACCACGCTTGATGTTTGGTCTCAAGTAATTCTTCCATCTCAGCCTGCAGCTCTTAGGTCCCCTTTGCAGACCTGAAAAATACAAAAGAAATAATAGGTTGTCTTACAGAAACTGTAAACAATAATGGGGTGATTGATAAATATGCAAAGACAGAAGCATGTATGTGGAATTATACCCGACTTCTTAGAAACAGCAGTCCAGTTCCCTTCTCCATGAGTCTCCACATATTTCTTCAATATCAAATCCTCTTCCGGCTTCCAGAAACCCTTCTTCAATCTTGCCATCACTTCTTTACCTTCCATGTTCCTTCTCTCTCTCACTTGAAGATTTTGTAGTGAAGATATTAATTCTGTGCATCTTGTGGAAAATATATATAGACAAAAAGATTGTGGGGTATCTACAGTAAACTGCACAAGTTATGCACAATGGATACAATGGATCGATGTGGGGACTGTCTTATGTTGCTTTAGTTTTTGATACTAGCTGGTCTTTTAAGTGTATCTGTCTTCCATTTCAAGACCCAAGAAGTACAGTGGCATTATATGTCAATAATTGGTAGATATATACAGTAGTCTTGATATATCTCTGCGGCCATCCCATTTTGGTGTGAGGAGAAACAAAGTAACAAACTATATTACTCTTAGGACGGTTAAACAGAACGCAGTAGCATTGCACAAGAGAGACAGCCAAAATTTTGACCTTTTTTTTTCCCTTAACTCTATCCATTACTGTTTAGTTCATTCCACCAAATGTGCCATTGCTGTTCTTAGTTTTCGCTACTGTCGTATTCAAGATTCCCACCATTCTCTTCCTCTTTATGCCAATTCTTCTTCATTGTGTTTGTTTTCTTATAACAAGGGGAATGTAATCTAGCATTGAGGAGAATTCAGAGACAGCGTTGTTATATGCATGAATAGTTCAATGATATTCCCTGAAGTCCCTTGACACTAAAAAGTAAAAACACTGGAGGTTATTGAAAAGAAATAGAAAAGGCTATATAAAACATCTATTTTTGGAGGGTCAAATTACAA